GCATCAGTTCCTATTCTGGGACCGGAGAATCACTCGCCAATCAACGCATTAAACAAAACACGCGTTTTTTAAAAACAAAAAACAAAACTTAACGAACGAGAAAAGGTAGGCAATTTGTGATGGTTGATTTTTCAGAGTTGTCTCCCTGCGTGGATTGTATGTCGGCGTTTTTTAGTTTTAATTTGTTAAACAAATATAAAACCTACGTAAGTAAACTATATATGTAGTTTATTGACTTATACACACAGACACACACAAAAACACCCAAACACACTTATATATATATATATAAAATTATTTATTTATATAGGCCTATGTATACACACATACATACATACATTATGTATAGCATTTGTATAGTAGTTTACAGATCAGTAGCCCTAATTCTACAATGTAAACTTTACATTGTAAAGCTGTTAACAGTAAATAAATATCGCTGTTGCTTACATACCACAAAATATTACAAACCATTTCTAAGATTACCCCCACCCACCTTTCCCAACACAATTCTGCACTATAAAAACTTTTAAAACATTTTTTAAAAAGTTTGGCTGCGGTGTACAAAACATTGCTAAAGGTGGGTTCATTCATGTGTAAAATGTTCTATTTATTAAAATATATCGCAAGGTTATTTTTTATCTGCTGAAACAAAATAATTTTCCCAAGCGGGGAATCGAACCCCGGCCGCCGCGGTGAGAGCGCGGAATCCTAACCACTAGACCACTTGGGAGTTGCCGATTACGAGAATATTCCAAATTTAATCCTTATAATTCTATTTAACTACTTTTAAAAGTATATCTTATCCACTAATAAATCACCTCAAAGACAAATTCAGAGCCTATTCCCCCTCCCCAGTTTTCATACATCGTCAAGAACAGTGTTTCTTCCAGACTTTTTTCTCCGGAGGGACACTTGAAATATTCGGGGGGGGGGGGGGGGGGGGGGGGGGAGGGGTTAGACTTTCTTCTGTTGGGTGGACACTGTTAAAAGTATATATTTTCTATATAAATTATATAAATTTCATTTCGTTCGGGGGGGGGGGGGCGGTAGAATTTTTTCGCCCCCCCCCCCCCCGAAGAGATGCCTGGAAGAAACTGGTCAAGAAAGATCAGACCATCACCCCTAGTGTTTATTTCAGACTTTCATCTCGAGGGGAGGGGGGCACTTGTAAAAATATATATATATTATGTAAATTGGGGCGGTAGGCTTGCCTCGGTGGCGGGGGCGGCTAGTTTCTTCCCCTCCCCCCAAAGAAGCCTGACAGAAACATTGATCACCCCCTCGCCGATAAAATTATGCCACTCCAATTTTCTCGATTTTTTTCAAATGGGTCAAAATAATGACCATCGTCCAGCTCAGTTCACATGGTCACGTTCGACCAGTGTTTCTTCCACATCCAGACTTATTTCTCCCGGGAGGGGGGGGGGGGGCGACTTAATATTTTCGGGGGGGGGGGGGGGGGCGGCGGACACTGTTAAAAGTAAATATTTTCTATATAAATTCCATTTCGTTCGGTTAACTTTATTTTAGAGGTGTGAGGTCATTTACCCCTCCCTCTGTCCCTTTCTTTAGAGATGTAAGGTCGTTTACTGACGACCTCATTTGAATGTCCAGTGTTGGACACCTGTTATACGGTATATTTTCCATAAATTTATAAAATGTACATTTTCTCTTTTTTTTTGTCTGGGATCGGTGGGGTGCTCATGTTGAGGGGGGGGGGGGGGGGGCGTGCTCCCCCGGAAAGATGCAACCCAAAAGAAACTGCTCAAATCAAATTTAACCATCTGGTCTAGGAGGGAACGGCTATTGTTCGGTAATTTAGTTTCATTCAAATACAATGAGTATGTGCGGGATGTGTGACGTCATGCTTGTGGGCTCTTACACGTGGGAGTAGGCGAGGGCTCTGCTGTCTGTGCGTCATTGAGTGCAGACTCCTGGCTTCATAATACGGTGACGCAATCGTTATTTTAAAAATCATAATGAATAATCGGACAATTAGGGGGAAAACGTACTTTTTTCTTCTTCTACAATCTGGTTTTGATCGATGTTATCGTAACGTTAAAAAAAAAAGGAAAACAGTTCTCAATAAGAACCAGTGCTCCACCCACGCGCGGATGGCGGGAGTGTTAAAAAATAACCCAATAGAATCCCCCCCTTCACCACCCACCCCCTTGTGTTTCACTGTCTCCTTCCATTCGCTGCCCCTGCTCTCACTCTTCTCTTGTCGGCGCGAACTAAACGCTTGCCTCCCTTTCCTCGCCTAGCCGGGAAGCCCGCGCCATTCACAATCGCAGTTTACTCGCGACACAGAGCACACCGTGAACACAGCTGTCTTATAAACAAGTCGCGTCGTGTACCCAGAAAACAACACTGACATGTGTTTCTCCAACGTTGACGGTTACATCTGAGGACGTCTACAACCGTTTGTTTTCTGATACAAAAAATTAAAATGGAGGCACCGCCGTGCTAGCAACACCAACAGTGTAGTAACAAGGGAGACGTCTGCTTGTACTACGAACAGCCGTACACGTTTTTCTCTACACTTAGAGTACTCTTAAACCTTGGTTATATTTTCTCTCTCGATCTGTGCTCGGATTTAGCAGCCATGACGAAATCGGTCGGCAGTCGAGCCCCACATCACGAGGAAGCGGGTAAGTTATGATAAAAACAAAATACTCTCACGGGAACACCCTCCCCACCCCAAAGCCTCCCTGCACGGGGGATGAGTAAAATAAAAAAGACGTGACACCAATCTATTTTTAGCAACAATCATTAGTTCCCCGTATGGTCAGCCAGCGCGGGAGCTCGTGTCTGACTAACTCACCTTCTGCGCCGTCTCTTTGTTGTTGTCCGGCCGTGTTTTAACCGCGGGAAATGGGTCACTAAAGGTCACCAAGGTCATGGTGTTTTAGCGATTAATCATATGTGGCCACTGGTATCTTAAGTAATGTCCAGACATCACGTTCAGATATTATTTTATTATCATTAAAATTAACAAACGTTTTGAACAATAATATGTTTGTGATGAAATTAGCACCCTTTTTAAAATGTGATTTATTAAACAACGCTGATTATTAATTACGAATCAACGCTTCAAAATAAATAAGCTCAGTTAAGGTAACGCGAATTTTATTAAATAACATTTTTTGTTTTGAACTATTTTTCCTCTGTCAAACACAAAACCGATTATGTTAAAACCGCGACCACAGCTGTAGAAAGTTAATAGTTAAAACATTTTAAAATATCAAACATAGCTGGCTTTGTGTACACTTATAACAGGGGTGGGGGCGGTTAGTTAGATAATAAGAATTCGGATTACGCAATGAAGTAACAGGAGGGAATGGGACCTCCAGGCTATTTTTAGAAGTCACGTGTCAGTCTACGTCCTGTTGTTTAGTGTTGTTATTGTCTTAGTCATGCCACCACGTGCTTTGGATTAAGGTTAGGGTTATTTTGATGTCGCGATACTGTGTATTGGGAAACAAAGACGGGGGGGGGGGGGGGGGGGGAGGCTAGAACATATAACCTAGATCATACTAGAAAGAGTATACTGTCTAGATCTAGAATAGTATTTCTTCCACACTATTTTCTTCTCCCGGGGGTGGTGGGGGGGGGGGCAGACTAAAATTTTCTGGGGGGGGGGCACTGTTAAAAGTGCATATTTTCTATCTACGTTCCATTTCGTTCGTGGGGGCGGTAGACTGGGGACTAAACTGTCTGCCGACTAAACTGTATGCTGACTAAACTGGTGACTAAACGGTCGGGTGACTAAACTGTCTCATGACTAAACTGTCTCATGACTAAAATGTATGGTGACTAAGTTGATTACTAAACCTTCTGGTAACTAAACTGTCTGGTGAAGAAACTGGTGACTAAATTGTCTGATGACTAAACTGTCTGGTGACTTAACTGTCTAGTCTAAAGTGTCTAAAGTTTAGTTCAAGACAACCTGTTGTAGCGACCAGCACAATGACCGTTAACCGCATTTCTTCGTCAATTGCTTCTTGCATGTTATTTTCAGGTTTATCTGAATACAAGCCCTTAAGCTCTTTACCCCCTCCCCCAGCTCTACCCCCCCCCCCCCCCTATTAAATCAACTAGACAGGTTAACGCATAAACTACACCCGTTTTAAAGCACAACGGTTTGTTGAATCATAAAATAATGAAATTAAAACATTTCTACTTATTGTTAATTCGAACTCTCATTTATGGTAAATGGGTTTAGAGTGGTTGATATAACAAAACAACAACAACAAAACAACAACATGAAGAGTTATATAGTTTCTGGTCCCATGAAAATACACCTCCACGATTGTATTGGAGAACAAATAAGCATTATACGTTATTTTTAATTTTTCAGGAAAACCGAATTCATAGGTCTATTACTGTTTCATTTCATCTATTCAGTTTTCAAATGTCTACTACCAGTCTAGCCAAACATAAAACGAGACCCGCTCCTTTGATTTTACTTTGTTACAGTAACTTATCAAGTGTGGTGGGAGAGGGGAGAGTGTGTACACTGTGTTGGGATAGGAGGGGGGTGGGGTTCTGCAAGAATGTAACTTATGTACACAAATCTGTGTTGGTAGGGGGAAGGTTTTGCTACTGTGTACACAATGTTGACAGAGGGTGTGTGTGTGGAGGGTGGGGGGAGGGTTCTGCAAGTATGTACACTTTGTGTTGATAGGAGGAAGATTCTGTTAGTATGTACACTGTTGATAGAGGGCAGATGATTCTGTTAGTATGTACACTGTTGATTGAGGGCAAAGGGTTCTGTTAGTATGTACACTGTTGATAGAAGGCCGAAGGGTTCTGCTAGTATGTACACTGTTGATTGAGGGCAGAGGGTTCTGTTAGTATGTACACTGTTGATACAGGGCAGAGGGTCTATTAGTATGTACACTGTTGATAGAGGGTCTGTTAGTATGTACACTGTTGATAGAGGGCAGAGGGTTCTGGTAGTATGTACACTGTTGATAGAGGGCAGATGGTTCTGTTAGTATGTACACTGTTGATAGAGGGTTCTGCTAGTATGTACACTGTTGATAGAGGGTTCTGCTAGTATGTACACTGTTGATAGAGGGATCTGTTAGTATGTACACTGTTGATAGAGGGCAGAGGGTTCTGTTAGTATGTACACTGTTGAGAGAGGACAGAGGGTTCTGTTAGTATGTACACTGTTGATAGAGGGTTCTGTTAGTATGTACACTGTTGATAGAGGGTTCTGCTAGTATGTACACTGTTGATAGAGGGATCTGTTAGTATGTACACTGTTGATAGAGGGCAGAGGGTTCTGTTAGTATGTACACTGTTGAGAGAGGACAGAGGGTTCTGTTAGTATGTACACTGTTGATAGAGGGATCTGTTAGTATGTACACTGTTGATAGATAGTTCTGTTAGTATATACACTGTTGATAGAGGGCAGAGGTTTCTGTTAGTATGTACACTGTTGATAGAGGGCAGATGGTTCTGTTAGTATGTACACTGTTGATAGAGGGCAGAGGGTTCTGTTAGTATGTACACTGTTGATAGAGGGTTCTGTTAGTATGTACACTGTTGATAGAGGGCAGATGGTTCTGTTAGTATGTACACTGTTGATAGAGGGTTCTGTTAGTATGTACACTGTTGATAGAGGGCGAACTATTCTGCTACTTCTTACACACTTCTCACACATGAATACAAACCCAACTGTACAGAACCAGGGACTGTCGCAAGGACTGTCGTTAACGTTTTGACACTGATGACTGGGCCACTTGGGTGGGGAGGGTGGGGGGTAGATCAAGACCATCATGTGATAACATAAGCAGCTTTCGAACACCTGTCTTTTAGTCTAGCGAGTGGGAGAACTTCATTAATTTAAATTAATAACTCATTAATGTTTAAAACATTTCTTTCTGTCAAAAAGCCTCAAAGCTTAAAATACACATTAAGAACAAACTAAATATTTAAAATATTTAAATTGACTTTGTGTCATTTAACACAAATCACCACCTTCCCCCTTTATTTATCAATACGTTTCATTTAGCGCAAGTCCTTTCTCTCTTTCTTATACTTTGATATCGATACCTCCGCTATGAAAGGTTACAACAGGATACAGTGCAGCCGAGTTTATAGTGTGTCTGGGGCGACAACATATTTTTCTGATCTTGTGTGTAAGATAGGACACCACACCTCCACCCAGCAATCGATGTTTTACCCTGTGTCAAACACGTCCTCTAACAGTCACATCTATCTACGTTTTATCATAAGACGTGTTCGGAAGATTCTTGGCGTTGAATACATTACTATCTATTACTTAATTAGTAATGCAAATCATTGTTTCGGTACTTAGACCGAATCGGTCGCGAGCTGAGCACGTACGTAGTCTGTGATGTGTTAAACAGTTCTGGCTGTCTCTACACCCCTCTCCATCAATGTGTGACTCAACACATCTTGTTGTCTTTACACCTCCACAACAATCCACCGCGTCATTCTACATCTTGTCTTTTTACATTCTTTGGATGACTGGTGTGATGAGGAGGTGGATGACTAGTGACTGGCGTTGTGGCTGGTGTGGTGACTGGCGTGATGGCTGGCGTGGTGATGGATGGTACAATCCAAAATTTAACCCCCCCCCTCCCGCCCACACACACACACACACACACACACATACAAACATAGGAAGGCTCTAAAACAACCAGAGAGGTTATTTATTTGACCTGGGGTCACAATGTCAGCAACAGTTGAGTGTGTTTAGTGCAGCAAAGTACACATACTAGGTGTCGTCGTAGATGAGGCATCGTCGCACTTGCCTCAGGATACATGTCTGACCAAAGTTTGACCGCTTCCCTCACAACGCTTGACCGGTCACTTGGGTTCAAAATTTAGCCTGTTTGCTGCCCCAGGACAGGTCCATCTTTCCTGTATAAAATTCTACTGTTCACCTGTCCTTACAACTGATTTAACTTTATGGAACTGCAGACTTCAAACACAGAAAACATCCTACACTTTTTCGCATTTATTATATCGCCCCCTCCATTATAGGTGATAAAAACATACAACCCCAGAACCACTTATCTTTGCAACAAACCAACAAACCAAGACACTCTACACACGTTAGCTACATTTTCTTGCACTGTTGTAGTTTACGTTAAAATAGAGATGACTGTATACTGTGTTTGATTTACTTATTTGTTGTGACTCCATTATGCAAGGTGGTAACTGCATAATTTAGACGATGTTGATTCTTAAGATTCAGGAATTTTTTCCATTTATGAGTCAGTTGACTTCATTAATTGAAACGGTGTTGCTGACGTTTACGATCCAGGAAATAATGTCCTACCTATGTCCAGTGACTGTTCTAATTTAGACGGTGTTGTTGACGCTAAGATCCAGGAAATAATGACCCACCAAACTATTTCCGGGAGAAAAGTTGTTTACCTGTTTAAAAGATTAATGAACCAGTTTCGCGTTGTTACAGTTACCAACGTTACCTGACGTAGAACGGTCAACACAACCTCTGGATCTCCCAGAAACTAACACCCCCACCACCTAGGACCTACTCATTTTCTTTCTAGAGCGGTTCAAAATATCGTGTTTAGTAAAGCAACATTTTCTTTTTTTCCCCTGGAATAAATAAAGGAAGGGGTAATCTGAAAAAAAAATAGAATAT